TTTCAGGCTGGAAAAACTCTGGGTCTGAAAGACCCAGAAATAGGCTGAAACGGAGTAGGGCCTGCAGACCCTCGTTTTTCAGTTTTCAGGCTGAAACGACCGGGGCCTGTAGATCCTAAGTTTTAGGCTTTTAGGCTGAATGTCCGGGACGGGTCCTACAGGGCCCGTGTGGCTACCCAGTATGCCACACTCCTCCAGCGCGCCCCTTGTTCCTTGCTCCCCTCCCTATCCCCTTCGCACTGCTTCTCAGTCCATGCTCTTTCTTTGGCATTCAGCATAGGTTACAGCTCAGTAGTCATCCTTTGCGAGGAGACAGTCCGTGGCAGGGAATTCAACGTCTCCACAGATTTTCTGATCACAACTGTGATGGCCTGCAGCATAGCTGGAGCGGTTGGAGGCATGAGGCTGACAGCTCCACTGGGGAGCTGAAGGTGGCAGCAGCCGGGGACATTTTATGGACAAGTGTGCGGATGACATTCATGGACAGTGCACAGAAGGCGTGTCTGTGGATGACATTCATGGACAAGTGCACGGGAAATTAACCCATGTGGACGGAAAATTAACCCAGGTGCACGGAAAATTAACCCAGGTGCACGGAAAATTAACCCAGGTGCACGGAAAATTAACCCAGGAGTTTTCTCCAGGCATATCACATTGCTCAGAAATCCACAAAAAAAAGAAGGTATACCCTTGAGAAAAATGAATGACTTCACTCACACCTGTCTCGCAATCCTGTATGTTTTTCTGTGTCGGTGTCGCAAGGTGGGAAGATGGTTGACGGAGGGACGAACCGTACTTACTGGGAAATTGGGAAATTGGGTATAATGTGGCTTGCTGGTCGTGGTGTGTCTATTTTTGCAGCAGGTTGCGAATTTGTTTTTTGAAGAGGTTGCAGAGAAACTTGTGTCATCATTTGAAGACCGATGTCGGGAGGTGTATGGCCCGTCCATGAACCCGGTAGCAGCGTCTGCCAGGTTATAACAGCTTGTCGCTGCTGCTGGATGCCTAGGCAGCAGAGCACCGTTTTAGTTTCTTCAGTGCTATGGCTCGTTCAATTCATTCAATTGTGAATACCTTTCCCTTCCTCCCCCCCCCCCCCCCCCCCCCCCCCCCCCCCCCCCCCCCCCCCCCCCCCCACTCCCGTTCTTTTCAACTGCTTCCACCACCGTCTACTCTTTCTTCAGCGGCCCCGGTCTCTCTCACACGTGTTCGGCACCTTCAAGGTGCCTTATTTTTTTCAAAGTGGATCTAATCCCGTTTGAACTTTGAACAAAATAAAGTCTCTCTCTCTCTCTCTCTCTCTCTCTCTCTCTCTCTCTCTCTCTCTCTCTCTCTCTCTCTCTCTCTCTCT